TTTTTTTTTGTTTATATGTATATAAAATATTTTTTGTTTAAAATTTTAGAATATTTCGTAAAGTTTTTGTTTTTATATTACTTTTTAATGCAAAAATATTTATTCTCAATTGTAAATTAAATAATTTAGGCACACAGTATTTTTCGAACTGCTTTTGGCACACTAAGCCGTTTCTAGGCTAAACTTGTAAAAACGCGCGTTCAATTTTTTATTTTTTTTATTATTATTACAATTGTTTCCTCCGCTCAAATTGTAGTTGCAAAAGTCTCCGTTCAAACGCTCAAATCCAATTGACTGCCAAGCACGAACTGAACTCACCACTTGAAAATTTGCTGCGCTTAACAATACACAGATTCACCAACTCTGTGCGGATGTTGCCACTTCACCAACATCATTACAAAAGCGCTAACACATTGCCAACAACAGCAGTAACCGTGAGCCAAAGGCAACGGCGCAACAGCAACAGCAGCAGCGGCAACAGCGGCAGCAACATCGGCCTCCGGTTGTGAGTCAGCCCATTTAGATGAAGTACTACCCGAACTACTAGTGCCGCCGTTGTTGCTGCCTATGCATTGCTGCTTTGTGCCTACCGACCGCTGATCACTATTTATTGCTGACTATTTGTGGCCTGCTGTTTTCGGCTTACTGCTTTTTCGGTCCGAAGCAATGAGTGAGTTTTTGGGCTGGTTTATGGGACTCGATCGGCGTTGTGATCGTGTTGAGCTGCAAAAAACTGCTTCAAGTCAAATTTTCATCTACAAAGTTTTCTTGCCCACTCTTATTCTGATTTTGTTTGTTTTTTGTTTTGTTTTTTTTACATTTATTATTTATAACTCTTTCATTATGGCATTTGGCTGCCTGCTCGTTATGGTTTTTTGTTTGTTGTCGCTTTGGCCGTGCCTCCAAATTTGCTTCACAGTACACTTACTTTACTATGTATTTTAATTTGTGGCTTAATTCTAGGAATGACGTGTATTTTTTTCGTTCATATCACAAATATGCATACATACATGCACAATAACTAACAATCAAGCAATATTGATACAAAAAATTGTAAATAAACCCAAAATCTGCAGCTGTTTCAAACGCCAATATTTGCACCGCTTTCAGCTACTAAAAATAATCATACTTTAATCGATTCTCATTTGTGTCAGGAAACACTTACATAAATTGTTGTTATAAAGCTCTATTAAATCCACTTTAGTTATATACGTTAGTTCTTATGCCGTTATTTTTAGACAACAATTTCGATGGTTACTTAATATTAGTTATTGACTTATATGGGGACCGCACCTTCAATAGTGGTAGTAGTAGACAAAGTAGTGGTTACGTGACCAAAATTTGGACATTTTGCTAGGAGTACTTTCTTAGAAAAGGATACACAATTTAATGTTATTGGTATTACTGTTTTAAGCAAACACAAAAGCATGTCGAACGAGTGTTTTAGCTCGTTGGCCGGCATGTCCGCCAGTATGCCGGTGCAAGCCTTTTGAATGACCTTTACGTCTGCATAACGTTTTTTTTTCATGGGAAAATGCAAAAATGCATTTTTCGGAAAAGGAAGAAGTCGAACGGTGGCATATCAGGTTAATACGGGGACTAGTTAATGGTAAAAATGTGATTTTGGGTCAATTAATCGTCCTTCGAATGTCGAATTCTGAGCAATTTTTGGTCGTCAGTCAATTTGTGCGGAACAAACCGTGCATACACCTTTCGTAAGCCCAAATGCTCGGTCAAAATGCGATAAATCGATGTTTTGGAGCATTTCAATGATGATTTCGTCTGATTTCGGCAAATTTTTGATGAATTCACGTACAGTTTCGATGGAATTTCCGGTGATCACGGATTTTGATTGACCCACATGTTGATCGTCATTTATGTCCTTACGACCACTTTGAAATCGTTGAAACCACCCGTACACTCTGTTACGGGATGGGCAATCGTCGCCATAAACTTGTTTCATCCGGTAAAAGTGTTATCAATTTTTAAACAAAATGTAATTTTGACACTTTGTTCGAAGCTCATTTTCGCACCGATAACTTAATACGCAATAACTTCACTTACAATCAATGAAATGTCATGAAATTATCATTGGACAATCGATAAAGATAGCAAATTCTAACGCACCAGTTATATAGATGGTGCCACCAGGGGCGCTAGATTCAAAAATTACTGTATTACTAAATTTCGTTTGCGGAATCATTGCGAATGTTAGAAAAGGCTTTCAGTGATTCAGTTTTATCAAAAACATAAGCTTTGCACCACTAATAGCCTTCAAAGACGGTCGAGAGATAGTTGAAGAGAAGCCCTGTTCAGGACGTCCTTCGAAGATCGTCAGGCAAGTGTTAGAGAGCTCGACATCACTCGCGAGTCCGTTCGAATATTTTGGTGGATTTTTTAGGTGCGAAACGCGTTCTGGCTTGATTCGTCCCAATAAAGCTGATTTTTTTTAGAAAAAGTAAACAGGTCTCTTTGATCATGCTTAATCGCACAAATTCCGATCCCACATTCATAAAGAGCATTATAACTGGGAGGGGAAAAAACGAGCCGAAACCAAAGAACGGTCGGAATTGTGGAAGAACAATTCATGGATTTTACACGATTGTATTGCACCATCGCATAAACGCGCGAGCGTGACCGTGTTGGATCGTTGAGGGTTCTAGTGTGTCGAGATAAAAGTAGGCTTTGCTAAAAAATGACTCACCACTTATGGAATTTTTTCTTGTATATAATTTTTTTTTTTAACTGTGCGCGATTTGTGGAAGTAATGTAGTGTCATATTTTCTGAATATTTTTGGGGATAGATAAGAAACATTCAATTAGTCTTTTGCTTAAAAATATTCTTATTCTTCAAAGTTTAGAAGCTTTATTTTTTTATCTCATGACACCTATTATATCCTTTAATATCGAGTTTATTGGACTTTGTTGAATATTTTGCTTCCTTTCTTCTACTTCTTTAATGACGTAGACAATGCTTACGCGGTTATAGCCGAGTTAATAACAGCGTGCCAATCGTTTCTTCTTTTCGCAATTTGGCGCTAATTGGGGATTCCAAATGAAGCCAGGTACTTCTCCATCTGATCCTTCCAACGGAGTGGAGATCTTCCTCCTCCACTGCTTGGCTGTTGTTTCGTTTTCATTGGGGACGTTTTTTACGTGTCGGATTCCACCCAGCGCACAACTCTAGGGAGGAATGGTTCACCTTCTCACTTTAGCTCGCTTTCAAACGGATTTTCTTTAGCTACCCAGAGGATACTTGGTCTAAAACCGGAAGTTGTTAGCTGCTTGAGTCATATGTAAAATAAACGTTTCTGTCCACTCCCAAGTGAATGGCGCTCAGAGAGCTTTCCTCACATGCGTGAACTCAATCCTAAACCTAAACTAAAAAATCTTAGAAATCCATAAATCCATCGTCAAGTAATATATCAAAATTCTGGTATTCAAAATTAACTTGATCCAACTGATCAAGATCAGAAAATACATAGCGTGAACAATTTCAAGGTATTGACTACTCTATAGTGCTCTAAAATTAAGAAATTAAAGTTATATTTAGGGGACTTTGTTTTAGTATCTCTGGTATATAATGAAATATGTATACGTTTTTGTTCGTGGTTAAATAAAATTAAAACTATGTCATACAATTTTAAGGAAAATTTCGAACCTCTTTTCGAATTAAAAATTATTACCGAATTCCACACACCCAAACTTGTAATCCTTTCATTCCATGGCAACACTTTTTTCTATTACTTTTCCGTATATGGGACGATGCTCTCGAATCACGGTTGACTGCAACACTATCGATGACTGTGACGGCGACGGGAGCAAAGACTTGTACCCATCAAACACAAGGTCGTCGTGCATATGCCATATATACACACTTACAAATGCTCACACACAAAGTGTTCGGAGTGTCTATCGTGCCGCAATGGCAAGTGACAGATGGCTTCATGCAAGCTTATTGCACATAAAAAGATGCAAGTGGCCCCCCACATATGTATATAAATACATACAAACAGATATACGTGATGCTCCATGGAGAGAATGTGACTGCGCACCACTCGGGCACTTTGTAGGCAAACTGTCTTCTCAGGCCGTCAACCAGACGCAGTTGCGATCGCGATCGCGTGTCTGACTCGTTCGCCTCTACTTCTGGCCAAGTGTTGTTGCGTCGCCTACTTATTCATACATATGTACATATATTTACTAAGTACGAATATTCATGTAATGAGGATGCCAACAAGACGCTTGCGCGAATGTCGCAAAACGCGTTTTTTTGTTTTGCTCTTCTTTGTGGGTAAAGTTCCTAAGAGCCAGCTACTTACTTATTTTTGTATGTAGCCAGCCAGTCAGCCGTATAGCCGTCCGTCCGTAAGCAGTTATAAGTGTAAGCAGCGAGCAATTCATTTGAGCGCTTGATTTATTGTTCTTCCAGCTGTTGAGAAACTCATTCTTACATATTTGCGGCGTTTTACAAGTTGTTACAACAATTCTTTATTTATTATTATTTTTTGTTTGCTGTAATGTAATACACTATAGGCTTCTTGGCATCACCGCAACGAACTGAGTCGTCAGCTAAGCGCACAGCTGTTATTTCAAAAGTGCAAATGAAAGGATTTCAAATTCGTTTGTGCAAGGTGAGTTCAAACTCAAGCAATTTAGACATTTTTGAATGTACGCACGGTGTGTTGTGAGTCTGGCTCCGATAGTAATCGTTGCATTAGTATGTGTGTCATCGCTACAATTAATCATTTTAATTTATAAACAAGCATAGTTTATGCCTCTAATTAGCTTAATAGTCATATTCGGAGTTAATTAAGTTCCAGCAAATTTATTTTATAAAAGTGGTACAATTTGTTTTACCAACGTGCTATGTATATTCACACATATATATACGATGCATACTGAAGATGGTTAAAAAAAGCTAACAAAGTTGAATAGTTTTTAGAACAATTAAGTCTTCATTGAGCTAAGATACAGAGGTACAAAGCCACACAATTGAATTGGTGATTCAACTTCTTCTTCTTTACTGGCGTAGACACCGCTTACGCGATTATAGCCGAGTTAACAACAGCGCGCCAGTCGTTCCTTCTTTTCGCTACGTGGCGCCAATTTCAAGCGAAGGCATGTCCTTCTCCACTTGGTCCTTCCAACGGAGTGGAGGTCTTCCTCTTGGAGTGCTTTCGTCCATTCGGACAACATAACCTAGCCAGCGTAACCGCTATA